CTTAGCATGTGCGTTTTGAATATGTGAAAGTACAGAAATGAGGTTGTAATTTTTTTAAGTAGCAGAGTACAAAGATAGAATAACTATAACTCCAGCAAATGCCAGTGGCACTCAGATACAGCTAGAGTTGCCGGTTGCGTGCCTGGGCCACCTACCCAGTAAACCAACACTCATGCAGTCACCTGCCACAATAGGGTTCCTTTGGAGATTTAAAAGTTGGGAATCAGTAGCTTCCTCTCTGCAGTGATTTGTGTGTTTATTATCTGTTTCTTATGTGTGCCTATTTATTCTTTCATTTTGCTCATGATCTGAAATACTTCTCCTAAAAAATAACTCCAATTTAAATGATATTGATTCAGCTACATCTGATTTTTGGTGAGTTTGCATATAGCCTCCTGTCTGTGTTCACCTCTGATGCTTTTTCTGGCCCGGTGCACATGGCTTCTCTGTAAACCATCGTGGGTGCCTGTGTAAGGAGAAATGAAACAGAGGGGGTGGCTCACCCATGTGAAAAAAGAGCTCCCTTGTGTTGAGAACCTGACCATGGGGCTCCCAGGCCTGCACTGCCACAAAAACAGAAAAACTTCTGAATGGCTATGAAGTTGCCTCTTGACACTGACTCACTGAATTTCCTGACATAGTCAGCAACTTGGGATGAAGAAAAATCAAGGCTGATGTCCCTGTTATATGATGGTATTGTTTCTTAGCAGTGTTTTTATTATAGCGCAGAGCCCTGTCACATGGGGCCTTGACATGGCTTCTGTTCATCTTGTGACAGTTGATACAACACAGTATCTCTCTTATGCCTGCTTTTGGGATAAGGTGGACATTCAGAGAGCCTTTTACCAGCATCCCAAACCACACTAATGAGGCTTCTTTCTGTAAATGTGCCTGGTGCCATCGCTGGGTAGAGAGTTACTATACTGTTATCATTATTATTATTCTGTGCACTGTCACACCATTTGCAAAATGTATTTTGATTATTCACCCCAACATCACTGTGAGGTAGTGGACTATATGGTTGTTAGTTGTGGTACTAGTTAAGAACATGTATTCCTGAGCCAGATTGCCTGGGTTTGCATCCTGGTTCCATCACTTCTAACTGCGAGCAAGTTACCAAACCTCTTCAGACCTCATCTTCCTCATTTGTAAAATAAGGATAATAATAGTTACTGCCTTCTTAGTTTATTGAGACACGAAATGGCTAGATGTTTATGAAGTATGTAAAACAGTAACTGACACAGAATACTCACAATATAAATATTCATTTTTATCATCATCATCACCACCACCCTCACCACTACCATCATTCCATCATCTCTGCCACCATCATCTCTACAATAGAGGTTCCAAGAGTTTGTAATCTGCCAAGATCCCATTTTCAGCATAGGCTGGAGTCGATTCTCAAGCTCAGGTGTCATAGTTCCAAAAGACATGGCCATTTTTCCTCTTTGTTGTTATTTTCTTGCTAGCACAGTAACATAAAAATACATTCATGTCATAAAAGATTGAGATGATACGGAAGACTGCACAGGAGCATGTGAGGGTCCCTTCCCTTACTCCTTCTGGACTCCCACTTCTCTTCCCAAAGGTAACCACAGCAAGCCAATTGGCATCATTCTTCCTATCTCCTCTCTAAGCAGGGTACACATATAAAATCAAGATATAATTATATTAAATTGTAATTGACATTGGCAAGTTGCCTTCCAAAAAGCGTTTGCGCTCCAACAGTGTGTGGAAATACCTATTTCCTCATGTGAGTCATCTTTTCTGTCTTTGACAATTTGATGAGGAAGAGTATTCTTTTCTAAATTGTATTCCTGTGGTTACTGGGAGGGTTGAGCTACTTCTTTATCTTATGGATCATCTACATTTTCTCTGGAAATTGCCTTTTGCCCATATTACCATTTATTTTTCATTGTAGTCATTCTTCATATATTATGAATAATCCTTGTCTGAAATGTGTGGCAAATATTTCCTCTTTATTGTTTCTCTTCTAACTTTGTTTTGTGTCTACGGATTTTTGGTTTTTTGCACCTAAATCGGCCAATTTTTGTCTTTATTGTTTCTAGGTTTTACCTTGCTTATTCAAGTAGTCTCTTCCATAGTCTTCTAGTACTTCTGTAATTTTGTTTCTACTTTTAGCTTTGCAAGCTCTCTGGAATTAATTAATTTAGAGTTGGAGTCTCATTCCATTGCCCAGGCTGGAGTGCAGGGGCATGATCACGGCCACCCCAGCTTCAGCCTGCTGGTCTCCAGTGATCCTTCTGCCTCAGCCTTCCAAGTAGCCAAAACCACAGGTGTGCACTATCATGTCTGGCTAATTTTTATTTATTTACTGTAGAGACGAGGTCTTGTAAAGTTCCTCAGGCTGTTCTCCAACCCTTGGGCTCAGGTAATCCACTTGCCTCGGCCTCCCAAAGTGCTGGGATTGCAGGCTGAGCCACCAAGCCCAGCCTGGAATTTATTTTTGTATAGGTTCTGAGCTAGGAATCTTATATTTCTCTAAGTGGAGAACCAGTTGTTCTCAACACTTACTGAATAATCCATTCTTTGAACTCATCTGAAATATCACCTTTATCATAAACTAAATCTTCTTGTATGTATGACTGTGCACCTGGTTCTTCCCCTCTATTCTATTGATTTATTTTTCTACTCCTGAAAGACAAAATCCTTTCTTATTGCCGCTCTCTTTTTCAAAAAATACCTATGTATTTTTGTGCATTTTTTTCTTTCATGCGAACTTATAGAGGCAGCCTATCAAGGGCTATAGAGAAAGCTCCTGTAGGTATTTTGATTGGGATGTGTTGCATTAATAGATCGGCATTTTTATAATATTTCGTTTTCTCATGCAGAAGTACTATGTGTTACCATGTAGGCCTTTTATATCCATTAATTAAATTCTATAATTTTCTTTATGTAGGTCTTGCATTGGAGGGTTTATGTGTTGTTATTACAAATGAGGATCCTGTTTTCCCACTACATTTACTTACTTTTTATTGCTAGTAACTAGGAAATAATGGGTTCTACATGTTAATTTTTTATCTAGTCATTTGACTGAACTAATAAAAAATTTTTATCACTAATAAAAATTAGTGATCTTAAGCAGGGCTCGGTGGCTCAGCCTGTAATCCCGCACCTTTGGGAGGCTGAGGTGAGTGGATTGCCTGAGCCCGTGGGTTTGAGACCCGCCTGGGCAGACGAGACCTCATCTCTACAATAAAATCAAAAAATTAGCCGGGCGTGGTAGCGCATCCCTGTAATTCCAGCAACTTGGAAGGGTGAGGCGGAAGGATCGCTGGATCCCAGCAGGTCGAGGCTGCGGTGGCTGGGAGCAGCCACTACACTCCAATCTGGGCGACAGAGTGAGACTCCAACTCAAAAAAAAAATAGTGATCTTTACATTTATTTTTCTTGACATCACATTGGCTAGAACTAAAACAATGTAGGATGATATTGGTGAGAGTGTACATCTTTGTCTTGTTCTGATCTTTAATGAGAGTGCTTCTAATGTTTTACCACACTGTCAGTTTAAAGAGAGTTCTTTATTCCTAGCTAACTGAGAGATGAGTTTTTCACTGAGACTACACCACATTCCTGTCAGGGAACCTTTATTCTTTTACTTAACCTTTTCCTTGAGCATCCAGACATTGCCCAGACTAACTTGGACCTCCCAGCACTGGCATCCTCACTGAGCCAACCTGGTTTAGAACTGTGTATTATCTTCTTTCTTCCTCTGTTCTCTCACATTTGAGCCCCCTGTGTGCTAAGGGCAGGAGCTACTTTGTGTTGATATTTTCTATACTTCTCTCACCACTATTACCCAACCCCTATCCCTCCTCTTGCAGAAGAAAACTAAAAGAAAATAAAAAGTAGCATGTGGACAAGGACAAGAGCACCACTTCTGGAATTTCGTGGCAGGCACCACTGAAAAAAATTTATTCCTAGCTTCTAATTTAAATAGCTTCCTTTTTTATTTTTACTTGATTACCTTGAGCGGTCAACCACCATCTCACGCTCTGGTTGCTAAGTGGCTCTTGGAGTTTCCACAGGAAGGTATGAAAGAGGAGTCACCACCTGACATCTGATTTCCTGTTGCAATTTCATGCAGGTTCAGATGCAGGATGTGGCCACTTTTAACTCTTTTTCAGCACTGCCTTGTACATGGCTAGTGCAAAAGAAATGTTTTCACAGTGGATTGATTTAGATAATTTTTAGATGGTGACGATTTTTTGCTAGGCTGTGAATGAAAGGTTTTGTTTTTGTCAGGCACACATTTGTAGAGTGATTCTAATGTAACTTGGCACCTGTCTAGAAAATTGTCCCTGTGTCCACTGACATTTTGCTTTGGGGAAACCAACACCTGCTGTGATGGCATCTGTCATATTTAGAAATGTGAAATGTTCATGAATAATACAGGGAAATCTCAGTCAAATAACTTTTTCAAAAAACTCTTAATATGAGATTGGCAAAAGATTGTTGTAAGCGACGTAGATGGGAATTTGACTCCTCTAAGGTGGAGGATGTCTTGTACTGTGGCTTTTCTCACCTCAATGCAGGCTGGGTAGATTTTATTATTGTCAGATTGTTTGACCAATAAAATAAGAACCTGCTTAAATATAAGGATCATTTATTTTTGTTAGTGTTAGCTTCCAACAAGGTGGGCTTTGAGGAGATGGAGTGGACTCATCTCAGGCATATGGTGTGTAACTGTCAGCCATCCAGGAAAGCCCAGGTCAGAAACAGAAACCAGAAAACCCTGGGAGGTGAGGCAGCCCCATTATGGCAGGCATGAGTTGCTGGTCTTTGAGCCCCTCTCAGTTCCAGTGAGGTTGGCTTTAGTGTCTAGGGAGGTTGGTATAGGAAATTTGATCAATTAGACAATTATGTCTTCCTTTTTCACTGTCTTCTCTTTTTTTTTCTAAATCCTTAAGTCCAGAAAGGATTCTGGAAGCCATGGCAAGGAGTAGACTCAATGTTCCCTACCTTTTCTGTTGCAGGCAGGTGACAAACATTACCACCCTAGCTGTGCACGATGCAGCAGATGCAACCAGATGTTCACAGAAGGAGAGGAAATGTATCTTCAAGGTAAGTCACATTTTAGAACACAATAAGTTTTCTCTTTGGGGAAAGAAAACCTTGCTATGTTTGCTGACAGTATTTTAGAGAAGGAGGCATTTTATGAGCTGCAAGCCTACCCAAATCCAAAATGAATGTGGCCAAAAGTTACCTCATCAGTTAGTATTAAGCAGCCAAGCAATTGACATGCTGGCAGTGAGCCCCTTAGGCTGTTAACAAATGAACTTGTGTCACTGCTTTAATGTAATGAATAGAACTCGACATTTGATGACTTGGATGTGAGGGAAGAGTCAAAATCAGCAATACCCCCTCTCCTATTCTCCCCAGAAATATTCTTGGGAAACAAAAGATTGAAAGAGAGAAGAGGCCGGGCTCGGTGGCTCAGCCTGCTGAGGTGAGTGGATTGCCTGAGCCCACGGGTTTGAGACCCGCCTGGGCAGGCGGGACCTCATCTCTGCAATAAATCAAAAAATTAGCCAGGTGTGGTAGCGCGCACCTGTAGTTCCAGCTACTCGGATGGCTGAGGCGGAAGGATCGCTGGAGCCCAGCAGGTCGAGGCTGCGGTGGCCGGGAGCGGCCACTGCACTCCAGTCTGGGCGACAGAGTGAGACTCCAACTCAAAAAAAAAAAAAGGAAAGAGAGAAGATTTTCTAGAAATGTCTGGAAATGTTACTTATTTGATAGCTACTTTATCTTTTCTTTTTAAACTATCCTGTAACAAGGAATTTTTTTTTTGAGGCCTCTCAGGCAGCTGTTCTCATATTTGATGAATTATATCACAGATGCATTTCATTCTATTAAGATGACATAGCCCTCACATTGAGAGAGAAAGAGAGAAAAGGAGAGATAGAAAGAGAGAACGCACCCAAAGTCTCTGAAAGAGAAATTGAGAAATTTCTGGTGGCAAAGAAATATTTATTACCAGGGAGCCATTTGATTTTTTTAACTGAAAATAATTTTTCAGAAACTTTCCTAGCATGGAACCATGATCAATTTCCATCTCCTCTAAAATTCTGAAGCTTCTCTGAGAGGCTTTAGGGGAGGATTCTCTTCTAGTCAAACAATGCCATCTGTGCATGCATTTAACTATTTTTAGCTAGAAAAGAGTCAGACAAGGGTTTATCTGTAAAATTAGCAAGAGCTGTAAGAGCTATTGCTCATTCGGATTTTTGGTAATTAATGGGTCTCAACTGACTTTGCATGTCATTTCTTCATTTCACTTTGCAAATAGCACTATGTGTACTTTCAAAGAACGGTTTGTTTTGCTCTCTCAATTTTGTTTCTGTACAACCTAGAAAAGTCTGCAGAAATGATTCTTGAGTATTAAAGCAAAGCCCTGGCTACCTTCCCTGAAAAAGACTAGTTAGATGAGAAATTGACAGCCCAAACTGCCCTTAAGTTTCAGAACCATCACTCTGACAGATTGTGATGTAAAACATCACTGAATGTTAAAGGGCCCCATGAAGGCAAATGACAGACATCCACATCTATTGTCTCATATGGGCTTTATGTGACACATTTTCCCAAGGACAGGCCATACATCTGCAGTGAGAATAGGCAGTTGTCACTTTGCATTTTTCAGCACAAAGCATATTTATTCTTTATTTGGTCTCTAGGCTTTGTTTTAGTTTATAGAGTGTTAATTATAGCACTCAAAAAAACAAAAACACAAGAGTGCATGTCAACCCTGTATCTGCTAGAAACAAAGACTGTGCACATTCACTGTGGTTCTGGAGGCTGAAAAGAGAGGCTGTGCACAAATATGGCACATTTATACTACAAATACACAATTGTCTGTTAAGGCTGCATTCAGAATTCCAGGGATTTCTCTGAATCTTCTGGAGCTGTGTTTTGTAGCCTTTGCCTGCCCTCTCGGCAGATCCTTAAAGAGTGAGTAGTTTCATCTTCCTCAGCATCTGATGTTCTCTCTGAGTCACATTCCTTGTGTATCTAACCGACCTCCAGAGAACAATGTGGCCGTTGTGTGCAGTCCCAGTGTTCTGGGCAGTGACTCCTGCTCTGAAGAACTGTCACAGCAAATGCTTCTACTGGGCCTGGGTCTGACCGATGGCTCTCCACTCAGGATTTCCTGTGCTTTGAAATCAGCCTTTGACCAATGTTAGTGTTGAAGGGACCTCTGTGTAACCCTGTTTTTTGTTTGTTTGGTTTTCTTTTTTTTTGGCCCTGGTTAAACAAGATGGAAATGATTATTAAATAGGAGTTGAGGTTTGATTCTGATATAAAACATATTATCCTTGTTATTAATTTAATATTATTTTAGCCCAGTGGTGTAAAGTAACTCATGAATTATTTGGTGACTTCAAGTATGCACAAGTTGCTGCATAAAGAGATAGATAGAGGTTCTGATCATGAAATGTAGACAGTCTGATATATTGTGAATCTTATTGTGTTTATTTCATTTACTTACTGCTTTCAACATAGTAACTATATTTGCTTAAGTCTTTTTAAGTGCTTATTTAAGTTCTTCTGCATCCCTGTTTGAACACACCCTTATAGAGACATATTAGCCCTATCCATAATCAGGTAATGACATATATTCTTTATCTAGTCATGCAAAATCATATGGGCAGGCATTGGATTCTTACAAGATAAGAATTGGAGATAAGTGTTTTACTTAATACTGTGATGTTGGCACCATCCATGAAAATGCTTCATAATCTGAGAAAATGAAACTGTTGATCCAGGAACAGAAAATAACACCTCAATTGTTACTTCACTTGTTTAAAAGTGAAGGCTTTTTTTTAGTTAATTAAGAGGTTGAAAGCTAAAGGTAACTTTTGGACTTATAATGTAACTTTCAACCTTTCTACTAGTTGGGTTAATTTCCTATTTCTGTATAGGTGACTGTGTATAATTAGATTAAAAATGCAATAAGTTTAGCTTCTGGATATAGACTATCTGGTTTGACTTTATTTCTCTCAACTGACTTGCTTGGTTGTTTTGATGTTATATAAACATGGCTTATATTTCTGAAATTAAATTCAGCTTTTGTAGTTACACTCAGACATTACCTTTAAAGAATAATAACATAATTTAAAAATAAAAAGATCTAATTTATTTTATTTTATTATTTTTTTTTTAAGATTTTTTTTTTTTAATTGTGAAGTTGTGGGGTACAGTTAAGGGTTAGGCATACAATTGCGTTTCATTCAGGCACCCTGTTGATATGGGGTGTTTCCCCGTTCCCAGACAGATATTTGCTACTGTTAATCCCATCTCCCTTCCTCCACCATAGTTTCCCAGTACGGTCAGTCATTTTCATATAGTATTGCATTGGATGTTTAAGGTCCATTATATGAGTGAGAACATGTGATACTCGGATCTTTGTTTCTGTGAGAGGTCACTCAGTATTAAAGACTCTAGTTCCATCCAGGTTGCTGCGAAATTCATGATTTTGTTCTTTTTTATGGCTGCGTAGTATTCCATCGTGTATATGTACCACATTTTTTAAATCCAGTCTTCTTTTGACGGGCAGCATGGCTGTTTCCAGGTTCTTTCTATT